GTGTACTTGGTGAATATCCTTTCCCATTCTGTAGGCTGTCTTTGTATTTTGGTCAATGTTTCTTTTGAGGTGCAGAAGCTTCTTAGTTTAAGATAGTCCCATTTGTCTATCTCTGTTTTCACTTGCTCGACAAGTGGCGTGAAATCTTTGAAGATACCATTAGCTTCAATATCATGGAGAGTTTTGCCGACTATGTCTTCAATAAACATTATGGATTCTGGTCTGATGTTGAGGTCATAAATCCATTTTGATCTTACTTTTGTGCATGGTGTTAGGCAGAGATCTGAGCCCACTTTTTTGCATGTAGCCGTCCAATTTTGCCAGCACAGTTTGTTGAAGAGGCTTTCCCTGCTCCATTTCACTTTTCTTGCCCCCTTATCAAAAATTAGATGATTATATGTTTGGGAGGAAATGTCAGTATATTCAACTCTGTTCCATTGGTCTGCAACTCTGCTTTTGTTCCAGTACCATGCTGTTTTAATTATTACTGCCTTGTAGTAGAGTTTGAAGTTAGGGAGGTTGATTCCTCCCATTTTCTTTTTCCCAAGAATTGCTTTAGCTATTCGTGGGGGCTTATTGTTCCATATAAATTTCAGGAGTGTTTGCTCCATTTCTTTGAAGAATGTCATGGGTATCCTTATAGGGATTGCATTGAATTTGTACAGTGCTTTGGGAAGTATTGCCATTTTGATGATGTTGATTCTCCCCATCCATGAACAGGGGATATTTTTCCATTTCCTCGTGTCCTCTATTATTTCCTGAAGTAGCGTTTTGTAGTTTTCTTTGTACAGGTCCTTTACTTCCTTAGTTAAGCTGATTCCTAGATACTTGATTTTCTGGGGCACAATTGTGAATGGGATTGTTTTCTTGATGTCACTTGCTTCTCTTTCACTATTTACGTATAGGAATGCTATGGATTTTTGAGTATTGATTTTATAGCCTGCCACTTTACTATACAAGCCTATTGTTTCTAGGAGTTTCTTGGTAGAGGTTTTAGGGTTCTCTAAGTATAGTATCATGTCATCTGCGAATAGTGAGAGCTTAATTTCTTCTTTCCCTATCTGGATGCCCTTAATATCTTTTTCTTGCCTAATTGCTATTGCAAGTACTTCCAGTACTATATTGAACAGCAGTGGAGAGAGTGGGCATCCTTGTCTCGTCCCTGACCTTAGGGGGAAGGGTCTCAGTTTTTCCCCATTGAGGATGATGTTTGCTGTAGGTTTGTGGTAGATGGCTTTAACTATATTGAGGAAAATCCCCTCTATCCCCATTTTGGCAAGGGTTTTCATCATGAATGGGTGCTGGATCTTGTCAAAAGCTTTCTCTGCGTCTATTGATATGATCATATGATTTTTATCTTTTTTTGTTGATATGAGGGATTATGTTGATTGATTTCCGAATGTTGAACCATCCTTGCATCCCTGGGATGAATCCCACTTGGTCATGATGTATGATCTTTTTGATGAGTTGTATTCTATTGGCTAGTATTTTGTTGAGAATCTTCGCATCCGTGTTCATCAGGGATATTGGCCTCTAGTTTTCTTTTCTTGTGGTGTCTTTGTTTCCTTTTGGTATTAGAGAGATATGGGCTTCATAGAAGCTGTTTGGGAGAGTTTCTGTTTTTTCAATTTCCTGGAAAAGCTTGAGAAGAATTGGCAATAGGTCCTCTTTAAATGTTTGGAAAAATTCGCTAGTAAATCCGTCTGGGCCTGGGCTTTTGTTTTTGGGAAGACTTTTGATTACAGTTTCAATTTCCTTGATGTGAATAGGTCTATTCAGGTACTCTATATCTTCTTGATTCAGCTTTGGGAGATGGTAGAAATCCAGGAATTTATCCATTTCTTCCAGGTTCTCGTGTTTCGTGGCATAGAGACTTTCAAAGTAGTCTCTGATGATCTCTTGAATTTCTTTAGTTTCTGTTGTGATATCCCCATTCTTATTTCTGATTCGATTTATTAGGGTTCTCTCTCTCTGTTTCTTTGTGAGTGTTGCTAGTGGTTTATCTATCTTATTTATTTTCTCGAAGAACCAGCTCTTGGTTTCATTGATCTTTCGGATTGTTTCTTTGTTTTCCATGTCGTTGATTTCTGCTCTAAGTTTTATGATCTCTTTCCTTCTGCCTGATTTAGGCTCTTTCTGTTGATCCTTTTCTAAGGTCTTGAGCTGTGAGGTCAAATTGTTTATGTGCATCGTTTCTATCGACTTAAGATAGGCTTGCAGAGCTATAAATTTTCCCCTTGATACAGCTTTCGCTGCATCCCATAAGTTCTGGTAGTTTGTGTCTTCATTCTCATTTGTTTCCAGGTATCTTTTGATTTCATCCTTGACTTCGTTCCTGACCCACTCATTGTTCAGCATCGAGTTGTTTAATTTCCAGGTGTTTGATTTGGTTCTCTGTGTCTGTGTGTGATTCACTTCTATCCTCAGTGCATCATGGTCTGAAAAGATGGCTGATACTATTTCTATCTTCTTGATTCTGTTGAGGTATGTTTTGTGTCCTAGCACATGGTCTATTTTGGAAAATGTTCCGTGTGCGCTGGAGAAGAATGTGTATTCTTTCTTTTTGGGGTGTAAAGCCCTGTATAAGTCCATAAGCCCTTTCTCTTCTATTACTTCTTTCAAAGCCAATAATTCCTTGCTGGGTTTTGTTCGTGTTGATCTATCCAGAGGTGATAAGGCGATGTTGAAGTCTCCAAGTACTATTGTGTTGGTAGTGATGTCCTCCTTAAAATCTGTTAGCAGTTGTTTTAAATATTTAGCTGTTCCCTCATTAGGTGCGTATACATTTAAGAGTGTGATTTCTTCCTGTTGTACGTATCCCTTGATGAAGAGAAAATAGTCTTCACTGTCCCTTCTAATCTTTTTCAAGGTGAAATTAATGTTGTCGGATACTAGTATGGCCACCCCAGCTTTTTTGAGGGAGTTGTTTGCTTGCAGGATTGTTTTCCATCCTTTGACTTTGAGTCTGTGTTTGCTCTGGCTGTTGAGGTGAGTTTCTTGTAGGCAGCAGAATGTTGGGTTCTGTCTCTGTATCCATTTTGCCACTCTGTGTCTCTTAACTGGTGAATTTAGACCGTTGACATTGAGAGAGAGAATGGTTATGGGGTTTTGTGTCATGTTTCTGTGCGGGTGTGTTATGGTTGTAGGGTTTGTCTTTTCTTATAGTAGCCCCTTTAGGCCTTGCTTTAGGTTTGGTTTTGAGTCTATGAAGTTCCTGAGCTGCTGTTTATCTATAAAATAGTGTACTGTTCCTTCGATTTTGAGGGAGAGTTTAGCCGGGTAGAGTATTCTTGGGGAAGCATTCATTTCCGTGAGTTTTTTGACTATATCTCGCCACTGCCTTCGGGCTTGTAGGGTTTCCTCGGATAGGTCTGCTGTGAATCTAAGGGATGCTCCTTTGTATGTGATTTCCTTCTTTGCTCTTGCTGCTTGCAGTATTGTGCCTCTATCGGCAGTATCGATCATTCTAAGTATGATATGTCTTGGAGTGTTTCTGTTGGGGTCTCTTTTAGCCGGCACCCTTCGGGCTCCTTGAACCTGAATGGCTGCATTGTGCAGCTCTGGGAAGTTTTCAGCAATGATTTGTTTGACGGTGTTTTTTTCGTTGGGATTGTTTCCCTGAGGTTCAGGTAGTCCCATGATTCTAATATTGTTCCTCTTGGAATCATCTGCTAGGACTCTGATTCTCTGTAGAGCCATTTTGAGGTCCCTTGCCACTGTTTGTTGTTGCGTGTTGGCTTGTTGCAGCTGATCTTCCAGGTCACTGATTCTCTCTTCAGCTGTGGTCATTCTATTTTTAAGAGAAGAAACTGAATTTCTCATTTCATCTATGGAATCTTTTAATCGTGACATTTCTGCCCTCATTTCTTCTCGTAATTTGTCGATTTTTTCTGTGGTGTTACTGGCTGTCTGTCTGACTGTTTCATTGAGTTGATTGAACATCTTGATGACTTCGTACCTGAATTCTATGTCAGAGAGGTCCCTTAGGTGAGCTGTATTGTCGGAATGGTCTAGATTGTTTTCGTTTTTCTCCCCTTGTGTTGGAGATTTTCTTTGTTTCTTCATATTGCTGAGTAGGTTGGGTTACTAGATTCCTTGGGGACTAGGTTCCTTAGTGTGGGAAAACAATCTGCGGCCGAGTAAGCGTTGGCCCGCCGGAAATTAAGCCACGCCCACTTTTGAGGCCACGCCCACTTTTGAGGAGGCCACGCCTCTACAGAACCCTGGGTTTGGGATGAGATGGGCGCCGCCGTCAGGTCAGGAGTGAAGAGGGCAGGGCAGACGCTCAAAACTGCTTCTCTTCAGGCATCTCGGGGGACATCAGGGGTCCTGCAGGGAAAGATGGAGGTCCCAGGGTCATGAGCCGGCAGCTGTTCTGACCTGGAATTAAGATGAGATGGGCGCCGCCGTCAGGTCAGGAGTGAAGAGGGCAGGGCAGACGCTCAAAACTGCTTCTCTTCAGGCATATCGGGGGACACCTGGGGTCCTGGAATTAAGATGAGATGGGCGCCGCCGTCAGGTCAGGAGTGAAGAGCTATAATACTTTTTCTGTCAGAATAAATGCATTTGTATTAGGAAAATGAATTAAACGAGTATTTGTCAGAACTTGGTAGAAAATTGGAAAGAGTGTTCAGATTCTTTTAGGAAAGTGAGTAATGAGCACATATTTTCTTCTTACAGCTCGGTTACTGGAGGACTGAACTATATTCTGAGAGACTTATCTTCAGAAGACTTATATTCCAGGGCCCGAGTGATAGTACAGCGGACAGAGCATTTGCCTTGCATACAGCCGACCCCCAGCATCCCATGTGGTCCCCCAGCACTGCCAGGAGTAATTCCTGAGTGCAGAGCCAAAAGTAACCCCTGAGCATTGCCGGGTGTGACCCAAAACAAACAAAAAGAAAGAGCCAAAAAGAAAAGAAAAAAAAACATTCTAAAAGATCTATCTTCAGAAGACTTATATTTTAAAAGACTTATCTCCAGACATCCTTCTTCCAAGAATGGCTTTTTCCGCTTCCCTGGCCGAACGCCAATCAGAAGCCAGCTGCCCTCTCTGTCTAGATTACCTGAGAGACCCAGTGACTCTAGCCTGTGGTCACAACTTCTGTGTCTCCTGCATTCAACAACGCTGGGTTGACCTACAGGACATCTTCCCCTGTCCTGTCTGCCTCCACCACTGCCCTGACAGGAACTTGAAGAGAAACAACCAATTGTGTCACATCACTGACATCGTTAATCAGCTCCCCATCAGAGTGAATAAAAGGAATCAGCAGGAACTGAAACTATGTGAGAAGCACCAGGAAGTCGTGGACATGTTCTGTAAGGAAGACTCTGAGCTATTGTGTCCCCAGTGCAGGACCACCCCTGACCACCAGGATCACTACCTCATCCCTTCTGAGAGAGCTGCAGCGAGTCAAAGAAAGAAGCTCAGAAGCTCCATGGAGCTTCTGAAGAGGAAGATTGAAACCACTGAAACGGATTGTAAGAAACAAATTTCAAAATTTCTTGAAGAGAGTCGGAAGGTGGAAAACCAGAAGACAGAATTAGGTTCTGAATTTAAAAAATTAATTTTTTTTGAGAAGGGAACATTTTGCAAGTGATGCCAGATTAATTAAGGAAGAGAACAAAGAGAAGGATAAATTCACCGAAAACAAAAGCTACAAAACCAAAAACAAAAGCTACAAAACCAAAAAAACAAAAACCACCTACATCTTAGCTATTTGCTTTTCCATGAACTCATTTATTTGGGGATACCTATTATGATAATTCCTGTACTCACAAAGGAACAAGATAGGGAACTAGAGAACCTGTGGACAGAGATGCAAGAGGAATGACTTCCTACTCAAGGCCCTGTATCAGATTTCTCTCCAGGTTCCTCCATGACCCAGTGGCCCCCATCTCCACCCACCCCACCATGTGCCAGGCTCCAGCTTGCTTTCCCCCTTTCCCAGTGGTTGGGAACCCAGAAAACCTGGATGTGCTCATTTCATCTCCTGCCCTAGTAGGCCTGACCTCAGATTCTGTAAGCTACCCATCCCGTGTCTTGCATGAACTGGGAAGCACCCCTCACCCCACAAGCCACAGTCAGTCCCTATTCTCCTCTCCAGTTGTTCTAGACAAGCCCGCAAACCAGAGTCTCCTATCTGCAGCTCCTCTGGTCTTCAGGAGGGCAAGAAATGTGACAGGGAAGAGGCCAAGTTCATAGGAGCCAAAAGCAGGAGAAGCCCCCTACCCCACTTACTTATGGGATATTTAAGGTGTAGCAGGTGTTGATAATCATTCAACAGCCCCAGAAGAAAGATATGGCCCCAGAATCGGAAATCTAGTCTCAAGATGAATGGCCAGTCCTAGGTTTTACTGCCATGAGGAGGAAAATATGAAATGGGGCAAAATAAAGAGAGGTTCTCTATCTCTATCATGGCACTAGTCCTTGTATTACACGCTCTCCCCTGGGTTCTTTCTGTGTGACCTGTTGTGTGTTTTTTTAAAAGACTTTATTATTTTTGAAAGACTGCTGCATCTGACCTACAGTTTTCCTTTGGGTGGTAAACAGGGGTCAAGGAATCACTTCATTATTTTGCTTCAGTTAAGCAACTATAACATATTAACACTAATGCTTTCTCAGTAAGTTTGAACACAAAAATGGATGCTATCACACCCACCCAAAATCTTTGATATCCAAGCAACCAAACCATACACAGATAAATAAAGATTTTTGTCCTTCAATGGAGGGAGGGAAATGTACCTGCCACAGAAGCAGGCTGGGGATGGGAGGAAAATCAGAGAGATTGGTGGAAGTTAGCGAGCACTGGTGAAGGAATTGTTGGAACAATGTATGCCTGAAACTCAATCACAAATGGCTGTCGTTTTGTAAGTTTTGGTAATTCAATTTTAAAAAAAGAAAAGAAAAAATATTTTTTACTTTCCCTCACTGCACCCCAATCCTCCAAAAAAGATAGGTGACTTCATCATCATTGATGCTTCAAAATAATTTGGGCATAGATTCCCCCTGACTGGCTTGACGAAAGCTGGCACCATGCAGAAAGGCTGAGCTGTGGAGGACCAGCACTGGGACCTTGAAGGCATATGTGTGTCCAGGCAGTTGGCACTTTCAACTGTGCTGATTGTGTTTCTTTGGCCAACTTCTATCAATGCTGGTTTAGGCCCATCTGATTTCTATAACACAAGTACTCATGACAGTGATTCTTGTTTAAGAATAAAGGTCTCCTTTGAAGTCTTTCTTCAAGTGTTTCTCTCATGGTCTTCTACACACCTGTTTGTACTCCACACCAGATTTAGAGGTCTCAAGGCATTGTGCTCTTTTCTCTGACTGTGTCATCATCTTCCGCTCAACCATGACTAAAGATGAGATCTCAGGATATTAAAATCCCGAAGGTTTGAGTTAGTGCCTATTAAAATCTTGAGGTAGAGACTCGAGAGATAGTGCAATGGGTAATGGCATTTGTGTTGAGAACAGCTGACCTTGATTTAATCCCTGGAACCCCCTATGGTCCCCTGAGACCCATCTGGAGTAATCCCTGAACATAGAACCAGGAATAAATCCTGAGCACTTCCGGTGAGGCCCAGAAACTAAACAACGCAGAGGCACCAGATTCAAAGTGTCTGGGCAAGCAACTGCCCATCAGTGCTGACCAGGGCTGCATGCACCACCATACAATCTGCCTGCTGGGCCCTCCGTGAGTCACATCTCTCTGTGCCCTGCCACAGAATGGGGGTAGTAGAGCAGGGTGTCCCAGGCACTGACCAGTTGCACAAGCCAATGCCCAGTGATGACTTCAGACATGGCCTGCGTCGAGAGCTGGAACCACGACTGCATGAAGTTCTTAGACAAATGACCATGTTTCCAGCTCTTCTTCAAAGCAGGTGAGCCACCGAGTTCCACGAGTGTAGGAAAAGGGCAAACTCAGACATCAATATGGACATTTGCCCTACTTCAGGATGAAAGGACAAACTGGGATCTATCTCTGCAGAAAATAGTTTTGACTGGATACATGCTCACAAGTTTTGCCCACATGAGACCTGAGTTTGATCCCTGGCATTGCATGGTATCCTGAGCGTTGCCTGGTGTGACCTCTCTCAACAGGGATGGATTAACAAATGAACCCAAAACCTAGCACTCATGATTCTTTTGTCATTCTGGAGGTCAGAAGTTTAAAATGGTTCTCACTGGCTGACCACCAGCATGCTAGCAGACCTCAGTTCTGGGGAAGAACAGACACTCTTCCCTCGCCTGCCTCCTCATCCTGGGGCTGCCATCCTAGACCATGTGCCTTTTCTGTAGTCAGAGTCAAGAACATCGCACCTTCACATCTCTCTTAGCTCCCAGCACCTACTACCTTACTGATTCCTGCTTCCTTACTAATAAGACCCTTGCAATACCATGGAACCCACTTGCATCGTCCAGGATTCTCCAGTTTTCCTCAGAGATTTTAGCCTGAAGACCCAATAGTTTCTTTGGCTTCTCTCAATATCTTTTCTGGGAATAGCCATGAAGTTAGGATGTTTACAGAGTGGCACATGTCCCCCTCCTTATTTAAATGGAATCTCCTCACTCCTTCTGTAACAACTAACCCAGCCTCTGAAACAAGCACTGTTACTACCCTTAGTAGAATCAACTATCGGCTTAGCCATAACATGGGCTATTCCCCCTCAGGGAAGAGCCAAAACCTGAACGTTCGTATGCTGGTTCAGATCCATTGCTCCCTCACCAGAACTTTGTGAAGAGAAATTTGAATATATTTTGAACAATTTTTTTAAGTTTAGTAATGGATTTGTTATGTTAAGTGTAACCTTCTCTTTCATCTGGCAAGTTGTGACCACAGTCTTGACTCACTCGTGCACACTGGATGAGAAAGAGGATCCTTTATTGTTCAGTGGGAGAGTGGCGGGGGCAATAGTTGGGGAGGGGATGGAGTGTCAGGGAATAATCTGGGGGCATGGAGCTATTTCCAGCAATACTTGTCCAACCAGGCTAAATGTTCGGAAGGTTGTTTTTTGACCTCTGTGGTGTATGGGGTTTGGCAGATTGTCAAAAGCAGATTGGGGGCAAGGACGTGTGATGCTCTTCAGAGGAAGTGATCCCAGAGGGAGAGGCCAGATTATGCATCATCTCACACACCCTAACTTACATATGCAACCTGATTAGTCAGTGGGTAGGTTTATTTCTATAAAAAATGCAGATGAGATCATTTATATGCTCAGATGAAGGGATTAGTTATCTGGTAGTCTTCTAGATTTACTTGCATCAATGTGTTTATGTGAGATCATCTTTTCTTCTCGTTTTTTTTGGGATTTACAGTGCTGTTAATTAAACTTTGCATTTTTATTGAGATTTACAGTACTGTTAATTAAACTATACAACTAATCCAGGTTCAATTCCCAGCATCTCATATAGTACCCATGGAGAATTGCTAAGAGTAATCCTGAGTTCAGAACCAGAAGAATACACCGAGGATTGCTGGGTGTGGCCCCAAAACAAAACAAAACAAAACAAAAAAGTCTTAGGATAGTTCTGAGATAACAAACCATGAATTGGAGTTCATAAATGATGTTTGTCATATTGTTTGTGTAGAGCTCATATGATAAATGTTAGTTAGTCTCAGAAATGTTTCCACACGTCTGTACTTTGTCATTGATGGACTTGGTGTTCCATTTGTTTAAGTTTCTCTGGAGATTCCACCTGACTGGGAACAAGAATCTGTAAACATATTAGTCCAAAACGCTGCCCTCTCGTTGATAATCAATTTGCTCGAGTGGGCCCAATAACGTCTCCATTTTGAGAGCTCTTGTTACTGTGTTTAGCATATTGAATACATCATGGGTAGCATGCAAGGCTTTGCCATGCGGGCGAGATACTCTGGATAGCTTACCTGGCTCTTCCAGGTGGACAGAGGAATCGAACCTGGCTTGGCTGGGCTGGCTGTGAAGAGAACAGTGCAGAGTCTTCTGACCCTTTGTCTGGCTGTCCTTGCTGGGGCCCCTTGGAGGGGGACAGGTTGAGTTTTCCTCACCACGCGGAGTGTATACCTGGCAGCCGAAGACCTCCAGAACCAACCACAACCATGCTGAGCCCACTCTCCACACACATGAAGGAACCGGTCGAGGAACACAGGTAAGAGGGTCCCGGGGCTGAGATCTCCAAGCCTGCTCGGATCGGGGCTGAGCATCCTCCACCCAGATCCTCCATCTTCCAGTAGGCAGAGGTCACACCCACCAACTGCCCCCTGGCGCTGTGTAATCCCATCAATGGCCAAGACCCAGAGACTATAAAATCCAGCTCCTGGAAGCACATGGCCGCGAATGCGAATGCGGGACATCTTATTATCTCATTTTTGCTTTGAACAACCTGGCAAGCTACCGAATGTAACCTGCCCACACAGCAGAGTCTGGCAAATTCCCCGTGGTGTACCCAATGTGCCAAATACCAGTAACAATGATGGGTCTCATTCTCCTAACCCTGAAAGAGCCTTGAATATGGCACTTTTTAAAATCTCAGGGCTAGGATGAAGGAGACGTTACTGGTGCCTGCTCAAGGCAATCCACGAGCAACAGGATGATCGTGATGGTGAGCATGATCAAC